TTAGTTGTTGTGTGTGTGTGTGTGTGTGTGTGTGTGTGTGTGTGTGTGTGTGTGTGTGTGTGTGTGTGTGTAAAAGCTATATAATAAAAATCATAACTGAATTTGCAAGTTATTGAAAATTAATATAATTTTTTATAAAATAGTAAAATTTGTAAATAGTTCTTGTAATAATATCTCTAATGTATCTTTACGTTTGATAGTAACTTTCCGTCATAAAAATAAAAATATTTCCGTCGTTATATAAAATGCTTGTAAATTATTCATTAGCAATTAAAAATTGACTTGTTCACCATTTTATAGGCAAATTTGTTTTTTATAATATTATATACATATTAAGCCCAAGATGGTTAAATTAAGACATCGAAAAAATATTAATAAATATCGATAAGACACTTGTCATAATAAATAAGTCTAGATGAACATAGTTCTAAAAATTTTGATACTATTTGCCTCCCATAACTTATTGGAATGTTGAAAAATAAATCGAAATAAAATAAAAGTTATATCCACCATTAATTTCTATTGTGTATAGTACAAATGAATGTAAGTTTTATACTATACAAATAAAATATAAGCATCACATTTAACATTAAATGTGGAATGTATGAATCTTAATCTTGAGAATGAGAAATAATCCAATTTTATTCAAACATGATCAAAAATTGAAATTGAAAGTTTAGCGTTAGATTTTTATGCTGCGGACATTCCATGTCATTTTACAAGAAAAAAGTAATTGACGTAAAATACATTTTTATGTTTACAGCATAAAAAATCGAAATGAGCGAAATTAATTTCAATTTTTGAGTCAGATTACCATTCATTATATTTTAATTCTATTTCTAAATATTAAGTACATTGAAATTATTTCAAAATTAAATTATGGATAAACGTAATTTCTAAAATAAACATGATAATAAAAACAATGATCAAAATGTTATAGAGTATCACTATGCTAGAGTATCACTAAGCATATTAAAAGTTAGTTTCAAAATTCGAGAGAATATAGAATTTTAGTGCATGCAATAAATGATTTGATTTAAAGTAAAATCTGCATTCCTATCCGTATATTGTGCAGCTTAGCTATTTCTATAGCAATAGAAAAATGGCTTCACATGTATTAAACATAAAATTAATCTTAAACAAAAGTTTATGATATAGGTTATTCACGAGTTGATAATAGTAAATAGCAGTTTTTCTTTGGAAGCTATTTATACGTATAGTAATGCGCATTCAAGAGAATTCAATCTGTAAAACCTCGACTATTTTTTGTGCATGAATAATATGTGAAATCGTATGTATTTTTTTGTAAGTAGTATGAAACAAATGTCTCTTAAATGCCTCTGTCTCTCAGAAAGCTACTCCATCTAGGACAAAAATCTCTGCCCTGAACGCGTGGCTTATTACGCAACCATTCTTCTATATATTGACAAGGACACAGAGCGGACGCTAAGTGACGTGGCGAAGAAGGATTTCCACCCTCCTCGTCAACTGTCCAATCCAAACGTCGACGTAAGTAATCCTTCGCCCAACGTTGCACATAACGGCAGAATACTTGTTCGTTTTTACCCTGGTAGTTTGATGTAATTCACAATAAAATATTTAATACAACTTATCGCAGTGAATAACGTCAAATTTCGTACATGAAAATTTATACAATAATAAAGGCTCATATATTGAAGAGCTAAAAATATCTTAGTTACGTTACAGAAAACTTTTTTTGATTACATTCTGCTATAGATCCACTTAAAACAACTATACAAGTTCATGCTTTGGAGAAAGAAAACAGTAAAATGCCAAAATAAAAAGAATGAAAACTTGGAAAAATAGAATGCGAAACTTTTTGCCTTGTTATTGATTAAATAAAGCTTTGATATTTAGCTCTCCAATATCTAGAGGCTACTTAATAAAATTTTCGCAAAATATCAATATAGAATAAATTATAAAGAAAATTTGTGAAAAATTAAAATAAAAATGAAAACATATAAAAATATAAAAAAAGTAATTAAGTCAAAAAGATTAACGTGAGATTACGCGGTTTACCTGTTTACGAGAAATTCTTGTAGTGGTGCTGCCTTGTATAACAATGTCACTATCGTCGATGTCCATACGTTGTTGTAATTCACGTTGTCGGCTTAATTCGTTTGCATCATCGCCACCGATTATTCTACCTTCACGTTCTTCCCGTTCTATTATTTCCTGCAGTTTTTTCTATCACAAAACAAGTCATTACGTCAATTTCTTAGAAATGTGTAAATCTTGAAAAAATATGTAAATGATTAAAGATTATGATAAGGAAAATATCTTTCTATATGAATTCTTACTGAATAATTGTATATTACTTGAAAAAAGAAAATGATATCGAATTATATCTCAGTAGAAACTTCACTTACAACACAATCCGTGGTATCAAAATATATGAAACACAAATTGACTTTGTGGCAGGAGATTTTTCCTCTGTCGTCTAATCCCAATAATATTTTATGCCTTAATAAATGTTTGTTAACTTGAGCCATACATTTCTCGAGATTGTGATTGAGCTTTATCTTGATAAACATGCAGAAGAATATCGCGGCCGCGTTCAGGATTAACCACATAACACCGAGTCCAAATAATGTAAGACCAGTCACGCCAGAGAACAATAAACCAAGCAGTACAATGAAGGCGGTGAATATCCAAAGAACGAGAATCCTCTTGTAACATATATTATACATATTGAAGCGTACATCGTTCACAAGTAATTCCATTATATGAACGTAATCTTCCACTGTAAGCTGCAATATATCTATTTCGTTAGATTATTGATCATTTTATTTTTTTTTACAATATATTAAAGAAAGCATACTAGTATATTTATATTAAACACTTAAAAATTTTCACATTGCATCTTATAATTTAAACATACACGGAGTATTCCCAAATTCATGAATTTACACATAGTTTGAAATTTCTCTTCTCATAAAAATGGAAATTGTATTGAGATTAAAGAGAAAGCCAAGATTTCCACATAGACTTTTCTCTGAGAGACCAAGACTCAAATAGCACCATCAAAGGAGAAAGAATGTAATAAACTATGCATACCGTTAATCCTTGTGCCATCAATTCCTCCGGCACCAATTCTGGTCTAAATCTGGCTGGAGTAATCCATGGCCATTTAGTATTTACTGGTAGAAGAGTAACAATAGTATCACCATTGGCAAAGCCTTGCCGGATGTTTCCAATCGACGTGCTAATAACATTGCTCGATGTATTTCTGCCATTTGACACGTCTCTCAGATCGATGGTTTTTAAAGAAGCACTCTTGGTTTCTGACGTCGTTCGAACATCAGACGGTAATTTAAGATCCGGCGTATCGGAGGTGATGGAACGACTTAAACCTGATCTATCTAGATTAATTTGGACGGATTCAGTTGCTATCACAGCACCTCTATACTCATTGGTTTTCTTATCGTTAACATCAGCCGGGTCGATACTTTTACTAATTTTATCGACTTGTACAGTAACTGATTCAGGTTTTATTACAGCAGGTGTGCTACTATTGGCTTTTCTTTCGGTAGCTTCCTTCGGATCCGTCTCTTCCTCAAATTGGACCCAATTCTCCGGTTTTACAATTACGCCAGAGGAATTTGCTGCCGTCGCATTGTCAGTTGTGTCTTCGGAACTCATGACTGTAAAAAAAAAATAACGTATATAAAAAAATTTCAGAAAGAAAAACATATATATTATTCAGTTATATACAATATATAAAAACAGGACAAACGTAATTATCAACAAAACATAATTTTATTTCTCAACGACAAATTGCGAGATTTAAGATCTACCAGAGGCCATCGTTTCCTAGTCTCGATGCTCGAGCTCGTTGCCTCATTAATAGCGCAATTAATTGACATTCATCGTGCAACATACGCTCGCGCTGCTGTTCGGATAGGAAGAGGGAGTGTCTGGTCTTCGGAAGTGGAATCCGCGGCGGGGGAAAGAACCATCGGGTGCACCTTTCACGTGGAACGGCCCGTCACGATAACGCTGTCGATAAGAATCTCCTCCGCGAATCGCTCTCGGACACGCGACTGGCACAGTATTCGCCGCGACCAGACGCTTCGGACCCCCCCCGAAAGATTCTCCGCGCGACTCGCAACGGGGGAACGGGGACCGTTCCGGGCGAGTCGCGTCTAAATGAGATCTCGCGTGATCGCGCGGCTGCTGGACCGTTCGCGACGGCGTGAATCCAACATGATGCGATGGGGCAAGGAGGAAACGGGAGGAAATAAGAGGAAGGGCCGTATGTCGCGCGCCAGCGAACAACGTACCTGCTGCGATGCGGCCTGTCTCATGCCCGCGCGAGCCGACGAGGTGCGCGACGAATCACGAAATCAAGGTGCACGACATCAGGCAGGGCGCGGACGGGCGGTGGAAAGGGGAAGGGGGAACGTTGGCGGTGTAACGGCGAGGAAGTGAGGGCGGGAGTCGCGCGAGGAGGCAGGCACGAAACGTAACGTATGTATTGTACATACTTGCGCGCGTATATGTACACGTATACACCTGACGCACACGCGCGTACCTGCGCGCGTGCGTCCGTCCGTCCGTCCGTCGTACCCGCGCGATTCGCGCGCTCGAATGTCGAATCGATTGAATCTTTTCGCGAGCCTTCTCGTCGAGATCGCTTTATTATGTCCTCTCAGACGATTGTTAAATCCTATCGAGCCTCCTATTTCCCGCTTCTGCAATGGCTATTTGTATTCTAATTATATATTTTCGGCATTATTAGCCGAGTCGCTTATCATTAACACGTAACGGAATTATTTGCTTTATTATTTATTTGATTATGCGTACGGCTAGTGCGCCACCGGAAAGTGTGGACACCTGTATCTGTACCTGCCTTCAGTTAGAATATTCAAAGGATCGTACACTATCTTAGGCTTCTGAGACCATGAAATAACTAGGAAAAAGTTGCAAGACAGATAGAGCAAAATTAATATCATTAGCTTTCATTTCTCGATTGCTATCGAAATTAAAATTTTTTGGAATTGACGCAAAGATGAAATATAGATTGTTTTGTGTGCGAAAAGAGCGAGAACGCTTATCGGTAAATCCTCGATATAATATTGATATAGGTTACGTTCAGAAACATTATCCCAATAACTTCGTGTATCATTTTATCTTTATTATTAACCAAATTATTATTAAACAAAGATAAAATGATGGAGCAATCGAATGATGTTTCCGAACGTAACCATAATATTAAAAATTTATCACAATATAATAAGTAGGGGCACTATATTTTTGATATTTTGTGTTTCATCCGTGACTATATCTTTCAGGAACGAATATAGGAATAGTAAGTGCCCTAACTTAAGTATAGTCACGCATAACTTTTTTATTCCTATAAATTTTCATAATAGGCATGTCTCTATCATGTCAAATTTAGGCGCTCTAATCAAGAAAGAAACAAGAGTGGAGAGGAGGCAATGAAGCTATACCATGACCTCTCATGTGGATCTATCTTAATGCGCGCGCGCGCATGCGCGTCCGATAATTGAGGATCGGCACGCGACTTAGTCAGCTGACCTGTCTTGTGATAGCAGCTAGGCCGCACTCTGAGACAGGTACGGGTGTTCATCGCTGACTGAACTGTGCTAGGAAACGTCGCATCACACGCCGTGAGTATTCAATTGATCGAGTCAATTAACGCGACCGCTAATGTCGTATCGGCCGCGCGGACGAACTTCCGATTCAATATTTCCTCTTAGAAATCCGTGCGCGAAGAGAGCAGGCGTAGCGTGCCGTGGTATATCGATCCGGTTGGCATTTTTCATGCGCCATCCCGCTCAGGCGCGAATCCGCGAAACTCCCGGTCGATTTTCAGCTGGGCAGGACATGGCCCTCTCGGCCACGCAGTGGCCGTCGATAAAGAATGATTGCCATCATCCGTGACGCGAGAGGACATTTCGCTTCCGCCTAGCAGACGGCCCGCGGACTTCATGGGGCTACGCCTATTTTTTTGAACGACTTGCTCACGTGAATCGCGCAGCGAGCGTGCGACAGCATGCGCCTCTGCGAGCAGATGGACCGATTTCCTCGGCCGCGAATAACGATCGTTCGAATTAGCGGCTCTGCTCCATCTCACCTCCCCTCTCCCCATATTTTTTCGCGTCTCATTTATTTTAATTATAACAAGAAATATATTTATTGGGCTTTTTCTCTTGTTCTTTCGGGAGTACAATGGGAAAACGGGGGAAAATGAAAAATTGCAAAAAGATGTAGGAGATGTAATTTGGAGAAGCGGATTTATTTTTGCGCGATATATTTATATTATATTTATAATTTTGGACTGCTAGATTTTCTTATGTCTATTTGATATATTTTAATTAGAATTAAATTAGGGTTTTTCTTAAATTTTTGAAGTACAAAGGAGAAAGAGACAAAAGTGTAGGAGATATATTGAAGAATTTTTGATTGATACAAATTCGTATATAATTTAAGCTATGACAATTAAAATAGACAAATATATCTATTTACGCGATAACAACTCGTTTTTCTTGCACTTTGTAATTGCATATTGAATTCATAATTAGTAGATAACAGTTTGTAAAATCAGTGAGTAAAAGTTGTTTTATATTAGATGTAATCAATGATAAGATAGAATATTTTTATATAATTTATAGATATTTTCTCTATTATCTATTTCTCAAAAGAATTTTGATAAAGCAACAATCTTTTTATATAAAAGAACAATATATGTTGAATTTTAAGATATAAAAATGTTTAGAATATTTATTTTGACATTTTCCTATACCTGTTTTGCTATACATATATTTATATTTCTTTTTTTTTATGTATTTCAAGACATAAAAAGATGTGTGAAAAAAATATATTTATAATTACATTAGCATGCTTAATAATAACTGTCTTTTGCAAATTAAGATATTGAATCTATAGAATACAATTAAATACAATTTATTTTTTTCCAGGTAAATTAAGTTCAAAATGACGAATCAAAGTTTGATGAAGATAGCGCATGAAGAGCGGGAGGGCAAGTTTGGATATGTCTATGCAGTATCTGGACCTGGTTTGTTTTTGTCTCTTGATTTCAGCCTATCAACTTACACAATATTTCTTATTTAACATTTATTTATGTTACAGTTGTCACTGCTGAGAAAATGTCTGGATCGGCTATGTATGAGTTGGTACGAGTCGGTTACTACGAACTGGTAGGAGAGATTATCAGATTGGAAGGTGACATGGCTACAATACAGGTATAATAAGTGTTAACTATATACATTAATATTTTATATATTAAGAATTATTTAATCTAATTTCGTAATACGTTTAGGTATATGAAGAAACAAGTGGTGTGACAGTTGGTGATCCCGTGCTTCGTACTGGAAAACCGCTGTCCGTCGAATTAGGTCCTGGAATCCTTGGTAGCATCTTTGACGGTATTCAGCGTCCATTGAAAGACATCAACGAACTTACGAGCTCGATTTACATCCCGAAGGGTATTAATGTGCCGGCACTGTCGCGTACCACTACTTGGGAATTCAGTCCGCATAATGTGAAGAATGGCAGCCATATCACGGGCGGTGACTTATACGGCGTCGTACATGAGAATACTTTAGTGAAGCATTGGATGATCTTACCACCTAAGTGCAAAGGCACAGTAACGTACATTGCACCTGTTGGCAATTACACCGTTGATGTAAGTTCGTTTATTATATTTGATTGTATATTTTAGATAAATTTATTTTATCACATATAAATTTACATAAGTATCTAATATTTTTATAGGATGTCGTACTGGAAACTGAATTCGATGGCGAAAGACAGAAATATACCATGCTTCAGGTATGAAATACATTATCATTATGGTAGATATATACGAAAATTGAATGTATTGCATGTTGTGAATTTATGTTTGTGTGCATGCAGGTGTGGCCAGTCCGTCAACCTCGTCCAGTTACTGAAAAATTACCAGCTAATCATCCTCTACTCACTGGTCAACGAGTCTTGGACTCTCTCTTCCCGTAAGAATACCTTCAGAGGAACATTGTAGAAATACAATGTATCTATAAACATTTGGAATATGTATATAACGCCTGTTACAGATGTGTCCAAGGTGGAACCACAGCTATTCCTGGTGCTTTCGGTTGTGGCAAGACCGTCATCTCGCAGGCTTTGTCTAAATATTCCAACTCCGATGTAATCATTTACGTCGGTTGCGGAGAACGTGGTAATGAAATGTCTGAGGTACTGCGCGATTTTCCTGAATTGACCGTAGAAATCGACGGTGTTACTGAATCAATTATGAAACGTACAGCTTTGGTCGCCAATACATCTAACATGCCAGTAGCCGCGCGTGAAGCGTCCATTTACACTGGTATGTTCTACATGAGAAAAATTTCCTAATACAATTAATGTAAATAGAATCATGTTATTCATTGTATTCATTGTAATAATCCATTATTCGTGATATAGGTATTACATTGTCCGAATATTTCCGTGATATGGGTTATAACGTGTCGATGATGGCGGATTCGACATCTCGATGGGCAGAAGCTCTCCGAGAAATTTCAGGTCGTTTAGCTGAAATGCCTGCCGATTCTGGTTATCCCGCTTATCTTGGTGCTCGTCTAGCTAGTTTCTACGAGCGCGCCGGAAGGTATAATGTCGTTTATATAAAAGTCAAGTAATCAATAATGTAATCAAATATCTTTCTTGAAATAATGGTATTGCCGTAAACATATAATATTAATTATATTTACAATCTTATTAAAAAAATCTTGTGAAAAAATGTATGTACTGAATGTATGTACTGAAACAAATATTAGTGTCCCATTAATCAATGACTCATTGGATTTTAATTTTTATGCAGAGTAAAATGTCTGGGAAATCCAGATCGCGAAGGGTCTGTCAGTATTGTTGGTGCTGTATCACCGCCGGGTGGTGACTTTTCTGATCCTGTAACCAGTGCAACGCTTGGCATTGTGCAGGTAAAAAAGATCTGCATATGAAAAAAATAAAAAAGATGATAAACTGATTTTTTAAACAAATCATTTAATTTGTAGGTGTTCTGGGGTTTGGATAAGAAACTGGCGCAACGCAAGCACTTCCCATCCATCAATTGGCTCATATCATATAGCAAATATCTGCGAGCATTGGACGATTTCTATGATAAGAATTTCCCGGAATTCGTTCCATTGAGAACAAAAGTAAAAGAAATCTTGCAAGAGGAAGAAGATTTGTCAGAAATTGTGCAGCTAGTAGGCAAGGCTTCGCTTGCCGAAACAGATAAAATCACACTTGAAGTAGCAAAATTGCTGAAAGACGACTTTTTGCAACAAAACAGGTACAACATTATCTTATCATGTTCCTATGAATAGAAACATTATAAGATCATATGTTATACCTGTTTAACATTAATATCACAAGCAATTAAATATTATTTGAATTTTTTAATTCTTTCTTGAATTTTTTTTTTTTTTAATTTTTTTTAGCTACTCGCCGTACGATCGTTTCTGTCCATTTTACAAAACCGTAGGAATGTTGCGAAATATGATCGCATTCTACGATATGGCAAGACATGCAGTGGAATCAACAGCTCAGTCAGATAACAAAATCACATGGAATGTTATTAGAGACAGTATGGGCAATATTCTCTATCAATTGAGCTCTATGAAATTCAAGGTAATTTTTTTGTAATTTTAACAAATTCTATCTATATCCGATTTAGACCGTCTTTCGACGTTGTCTGACGCCTTTCGGCTATTCCTGCATATATTCGTGATGCGTATATTAGCACGGATATATAGGACCTACAATTTTACGCCGGTTCCGAATGGTCAATATAGGACTTGCTTATAAATATTGTCAGCCGGAATCGGGATTTGAATCCGGAATCTTTGACTTACGAGTCTCGCACTAACTCGCAGAGCCAAAACGCGCTCAATTTTAACAAATTTTTTTTATTAAAAATTTTGCCTTAAACTTTTAGGACCCTGTTAAGGACGGCGAGGCAAAGATCAGAGCGGACTTCGATCAGCTGCACGAAGACATTCAACAGGCATTCAGGAATTTAGAGGACTAAATTTCTAACTCGCACTTGTTAAAAGCAATTTTAAGATATTGATTGTTCTGTAACTTGGCTCTAACATTTAAGGATGTCCCGATCTATCTGAATCGCAAATAACTTACCGAAAATACGACTACAAGCAGCATTATCGATTATATCATGTATTATTTGCCGAATATATATCATCCTTAAAAGCGTCTGAATGGATTGTAAATACAAAAGCTACTAGCTGAAACCTTCGGTACTATCACGAAATGAAATATTCGAGAAAATGTAATGTCATGTACGTGACGATTGTGACAATAAAATGGGACATTTTTAAATGTGCGCGAAGAGTACATTTAAAGATACGCTCTACTTCCTCAAGAGTTAACTTATTTGACTCGAGAGCAGAGCTAGCCTGTAATTAGTCGGATATTATCAGAGAAAGTAATTTTATCCTTCGCGCAAAAATGTACTTTCGTTTTCTTTCCGCTTTCTTAAAGATGAAGTTAATCGGGAAGTTAATATTCCTATATGTTTTCCGTATATGTGTAATATAAACGAAAGTATAAAGCAGCTCCCCGTTTCATCGCGCGTAGATTAGGATTATGGTATGAGAAGATACTCTTAATTACCAGTTATTACGTGATTAGTGTCATGTGGATGACATAATTCTTATCTTGCAAAAAGATTGTGAATCGTGGAGTATTAAATATTGTAACATATAATGTATTATTTAAGTACAACTGTTATGCATAATTAAGTCTACAATACCATAAACGTGATTTAAAAGTTTAGAAAAAGGACACACGCACGAAGAAAAATGATCGAAGTGCAGGGTCGATATTATGAAGATAAATACAAGAAAGAAAAACCATGTATACATGATGACTAGTGTTCCATTGACTTCGATATCATTTCCATTGTATGATATGTAAAAAAAAAGATATAATAAAGTTATGCACAAGAGGATCATGGGTTTATTAGGGATGGATTATAATTGTAAATAAATCCTTACAAACTGCTTTTAATAGATTTCGTTTTAATAATTATCATTATATAACAATAACCTCGCGGTATGTACATCAACGATATATTACACTCCAATATCTAACACTTGGTGGATTAAAATTTTGATATTTTTTTTTTCTATAGACATTGCATCGTACTGACAAAAATATGTTATTGCCATGTACATATATACCGATCTGTATCTCATATGTACACATATGCGAATGTACATAACGTTCGCATGTATAATTGATCTCGTTTACACAAATCGAATCTTAACTTGCTCCCTATCAGATACTCTATTCTACATTTATGAAAACAGTATTAAAAATAAAAAATATTCAACGGACTTCACACTCTCTATACATCAGTTATTATCTTGCAGACTATGTGAACATCAACAAAAATTCCTTTTTCAAAATAATTTTGCTTACACCACTGTTGAAATCTTTCGAAAAAGAATATGGCAATATCATTTTGATATTCACAGCCACGATGTTCTAACATATGCAAGTTATATTGACATATTACTATATGTATGATACTCAGATCTTCTACATAACAGTCATAACTACACATCTATTATATTACGATTTTTATCTAATTAATCATTGACTAATATGCATAAAAATATTTTTCCAAAAATTGGAAACATTTTTCAATAGACGTATAGATGTATATCTGTATAAATATTTTATTTTATTATTATTTGAGGTTGATGGGTAATGAACCCCCCTTTTTTTATATAAATTTGTATGACATTTTACATGTAACTTTAATCATATTTTGTATTTCACATTTTATTAAAACAAAATTTTATATATACTTATAATCATATAAAATAAAATTACATTTATTTCTCTCAATACTTGAAGATTTTTAATTGTATTACAAGAACTATAAAATAGCAAAAATGTTTATTTTAGTGTAGCTTTTAAAAATTTTTTCTCTGGGAACAAAAAACAAAAACTTTTATTGATACGCTGTGAAATACTTATATTTAGTTAATCATCATTAATGTACAAGACAAACTAATATAATAGACAAAATTAATTTGCCCATATTAATTCCTATGTGAATATATGTAGGACATAGGTATATTATAAAATTATAAATGTGCAGTTATGACTATACTAATAGAAGCATCCTAATTTTTTTTTTTTTAATTTGAAAATCAAGGAATTTTAAAACTTGACAAGATGTCATAAAAAAAAATCAAAATATTAAATTGTTTCAAAACAGAATTGTTCTTGTGTGAAAAGATAACTCATAAGTTCTAATATTTACAGAAAGAGCCATTAACTCACAAATTGGAAGAAGCTTAAGGACTCAAGCGTATAACATCGCCATTGCCGGCCGATGACGAAGATGATATCTGTGATCTAAGCTGAAGATTCTCACGTTTCAATTGGGAAACTAATTGTTTCAGCGCTGTAATCTCTTGCCGAAGCTTCTCATTATCTCGCATACATTGACCCAGACTTTGATTGGCCGCGCGTAATTCTCCTATGTATTCGCAGGCTTTTGCTAAGATACCTCCTTTACTCTATCATAAAAAAGAGAATGACATTATGTTAATATTAACTAGATGATTTTATGAACAAAATTTTGCTCAATTATACCTGAGTTTCATAGTTGGTTTTTCCTTCTCCACTACCAGTAGTGTTAGTAGAAGTATTACAATCAGGAATGATTTTGCCTAACTTTGCAATCCAATTATTTATTTTATCTCTACGCCGACGCTCAACTTCGTTATGCGTTGCTCTCCGCCTGTCGTCTCTCTAATAGAAAATAAAAAAAGAAGAAATTATCTTCTTGCACAACTTCTTCAGGACAAACTGAGTAATGATAAACATATCAATTATAGATAAAATGATATATCAAACCTTTTTCAAGCCAGTGGTACAAGTCCTTGGGGTTTCTATCTGCAATGTTGTTGCTCTTGGTACTAAAGATCTTGATGCTTGAGTCGTAGTAAAGACATCATTAGCATTCCCGATAACATAAAACTGACCATTCAATGGCGATGTTAGAACCTGTACAGTATTATTTCCTGATTGCGACACAGGCAATTCTATCTCATTAGCCGATTGTATAGCTGCTGTGCCATTTACTTGGACGACTCGGTATGCTAGGGTTTCTGGGTATCGCATTTCATCCTCTCCTACAGGTTCCCCTGAGAGAAGCAGAGTATAATTATTGAAAATTAATAACAATACGACAGACCGTAATAGACTGGAACATCAATATTGACATAATGTGAAAACAAGAAAGTTCTTGTGAAAAAAATGGCTTGCCCTCACCTTCGCAGTCCACAATTTCCGCTTCCTCTATAACGATCCCCGTCGTGCCGTTGTCGTCCTTCACGCTGTAAAGACAAATTGACACTTTCAGATGCGATATCGTCTTATCTTAACGCAGTTGCATGCTTTGTGTATTACTTCAACGATTGTGTCTGTCGGTCCTACGGCGTACGTAAGTGCGCACTGTGCACTAAGCGATGATGACCTTGAGGAGACCTCGGACGAGACGGAAGGGATAGGTGTTCGTAATATCAGGCGGTCGATATTTAACGTAAACGCTACCTGACATCCTGTTGTTCGAGCTGCTGCTCCAAAATGTCCATTCCTTGGCGCCGAAAAAAAAAATGTTTGAATTTGTCGAAATTCACGTGAGCTGGTCACGGGACACGGCAACGAGGTCATGTGGTGCATAAAATGGCGTCGCAGGAGATGCGTGCCATCCAACGACGTGCCAACGAAGCTGATAAAAACATGAAGTTATACTTATCATAGACAAATAAATTTTTCATAATACTAGACTATAATTAACTTAAGCCAGCGGCACATGATGCTTTTTTTCTTGCTGGTTTGCTAGCTGGATTCGCGTGCTTGTTGAACTCTTGTCCTCGATTGGTATATTTTTTTAGATCCAAAAGAAAAATTAATAAATTAGTCAAAACTTGATCGCAATCACTCTTAAAATTATTTTTTGCGCTTTTTATTACATCTTTATGCCTAAAGCTGGTTGCACACAGGACGCGGCAAAGAGGCACGCGAAAACGCGGTAGCCAATCACCGTCTTGTTTTCTAATATATAACTTTGTTACGTGTCGCTTTGCCATGTCCTATGTATAACCAGCCTAAGAGAATAGAATAAACATAATTACTTCTGATTATATCTAAGTATTCGTATATCATAATTCTTAAATTCGATGTTTAAATTTGAAATAAAATAATAAAATATAATATAATAATAAAATATAATTTTAAAATAATTAAATTAATTATCCGATAAAAAATTTTCAATACATATTAGATTATTCGGTAATTATTTAGAATAACCCCATCACCTCCGATTTTGATAAAATTGGAGGTTAAAATTGGGCGAGTGATTCCGTGTATCGTTTTATTCTTGTTTAATTTTCGATGAACAACAAGGATAAAATACATGGAGTTACTCGGGTGGTGTTTCCGAACGTAACCCATACTGTGCAATCAGATGTGCACGAAATTTAAATTTAATAATATAAAACAAAGGAACCGCAACAGTTGTTATTGCGAGACATAAAATTATACACGCCAAAAATAAAATTAATGATTATTTATTCCTAACGGCTTCGAAAAAAGAAACACCGGGCTTGATAAAAAAATGTACTAGTTCTTAACAATATGTGATATTTATGGTATTTATTTACATTAGGGGACTAGCTCCGATGATCTTGATCTTGATATATATTACAGAGGCTACTGATCAACTTTTCCTTATAAATTAATCGACGATTTAGTTTTCGAGATATGCCTACATAAAGCTTAATTTTGAAATATTATTATTCTATTTATATGACACATTATGATGGATATGTCATTTCAAGGTAGTATTTATATTTTGGTGGTATCTTTCAATTTATTTCAGTTTATTTATTTATTAGGTATTATACATACTGTTTCCAAGCATGCATTTCAATTCGAAGCGAGATTCCACATGGATTTACAATTTTCTGCACGAAGTTCAATTTAAATCTATATGTTGATACACTGATAAAAATTAACGTATTTTTCAAATTTTTTCTGTATAACTTTTTAATAAACAATAACTACTGATTAAACTTTTTGATTGTACTAAGAATATTTTTTTTGTCAAGCCCAATTTTATTAAAATCGGAGATGATGGGGGTATTCTAAATAATTACCAATTATTCAATATATAATAAAATATAATTATATTTGCATAATTCATAAATTTATCACTTTGATGTTCGCGTTAGATTTTTATAATTATACAATTTTAAAAAACTTTTTGAGAACATCTGATACAATTTTTTCTTACAATTTATCATTTCTCTATCACGTTGTTGCGATCGCTGATCGAAACGATTTAAAACGTCCGCATGGACAAGAAAGAGCTCTCATTCGCTCCGCTTCTTCCAATGAGATCGTTCGTTTCCTCTCCAAGGCGTTCACTTTGAGTCTGTTCTTTTTAGCTGAACTGGCTGCACTAGTTCAGAGTTTATCTTTCTTCCTCCAGTGTAAGAAAGAAAGATAAACTGTGAACTAGTACAACCAGTTCAGCCAAAAAGAACAAGCCTCTTAACGAGATCGTATTCGGGGCGGGGGCCCATCCGCACGCGTGTGTCTCGTTATGTTTTTGCCCGCCGAAATTTTGCGCGGAAACGTTCTCGTGGGCGTGAATTCCCGGTAAGTTACGCGCGACGTGTTTCACTTTCTGGTGTGACAAAAATCCGTGCAAAGAGGCAACGCAATTCATTTCCGCCGAGATCACGAAATTCCATTGACGCTTGTCAGGATGACCAGGTGAGCGGCGCGAATTTTTAGAGGTTAAGTCCATTCGCACAGTTCCACACGAGTCTGTGCCTCTCGCCCCGTTTCTCTTTGCCGAATGGAAAAAGTGCGTCGAGTGTCGTATTCTTCATTTTCATTACTCTATAGCTGTGCGATCGTTCCTCCTTTGACCTCGCCATGTATTTAATTTTTTCAGGTCAAAGATAGAGTTGGGCGATGTAACACCGCACAACATAAAGCAGCTAAAATTGCTCAATCAAGTCGTATTCCCGGTCTCGTACAACGAAAAGTTTTACAAGGACGTACTGGAAGCTGGAGAACTCGCCAAATTAGCATATTACAATGACATAGTGGTAGATAAATCTCGAATGATTTTTATTTATTTAGCATCGTCCTTGAATTTTATTGCTTGGATATTGTAGTCTACAGAGCATGATAATATTCAATAATTTGATAGAAATTAAATAATTCATAGGAGAATAGAATTAACCAAGAAGACTGCATGTTATTAATGTATTGATAGGTGTTAGTTAAAGTTCTTTTCTTATTTTAATATTAGAAGTATTGAAAGAGCAGTCATTTCTAATTATTTCTATTTCTATTAAATTAATAGAAGAGATTAATAGATTTTATGTATTAATTATGAAATAATTATCAAATTTTCTATCTTTTCATTATTTATTCTCCTTATTTTGATAAAACATTAAAATTAGAAAATTCTAAAATTCTATTCTTAATATTAAAAGAAAATATTAATTTAAAAAACAGAAATGATCAAAAATAACTGCTTTGTGCTTTTAATGTTAAGAATTATTTCGCGAATCAAGAAAATTCAAAGAACACTAATATTAAATTTCTATAATTGATCAAGTTTTTATTTATCATTATAATTCTCAGGTGGGAGCAGTTTGTTGCCGTGTAGATACTTCAGAAAATTCTAGGCGTTTATATATAATGACTCTGGGTTGTCTGTACCCTTATAGAAGATTAGGAATTGGCACTGTTATGGTTCAGCACGTTTTAAATTATGTTAATAAGGATGGCAATTTCGATTCTATCTTTTTGTAAGTATAGCTCATAGTGGTTGCTTTATTGAATATGACCTTTTGAAGGAATAGTTTTTTTTTTCTTAATTATATATTAACCTGACATTCACAGACACGTTCAAATAAGTAACGAAGGTGCGATTGACTTTTATAAAAAATTCGGATTTGAGATTGTTGAAACTAAAGAGCATTACTATAAGAGAATAGAACCGGCGGACGCGCATGTGCTACAGAAAACGCTGCGTCCACGAGCAAATCAAACGAATCATCAAACGGTCAACTAACAAGTAGTATTGTTCATTAATTTATCTTTTTCATGATTTAGAATCTACTTACGTTTCCATGTTCTGTCAATAAAATCATTTTATATTATATCTGTACTCAGTCAAATTAACCTTTCCTATATTTGTGTCATGTATAAAATATATATGTACCATATATAAAAAAATATAAAGTAAATTTAGAATAAACTTTAAGTATAAAGTTGAAGAATTAAAACAAAAAATATAAATTTTCCTTTGGAAATAAGAAATATGACTATTTCTGCAGATATTGTTTTTATTGTCCATGAATTTCTGTGTACTCAATACACTAAAAAATTCATATACAAATATCTTTTTTTATAAAATTGTGACATTAAAACAAGTATGTGCATATTGAAAAATATATTTGTAAGAAATAAGTATATTGCACTGGACGTTTTACATATCAAAAATTGTCATGTTAAAATGAACATTACAGGATTAGGATGCACGGAGAAAATGTGCAAAAAAAATTTTAGCTTACTATCTAATGTAAGATATTATATGTGCCTAATAAATATATTCGTAGAAATATATCATATTTAAGAAATTAGAAATTCATATACATGCTTTACATATATGTGTAAAAAATCAGAATAAATTAATCTATCTTTGTACAAGATGTTCTTTGCTAATATATAATATCAGATACCAGATTCAAGACCCTATATTCTAACCTTTTAAGATAATGATGTTCAATGCAACAATATATAACATCAATGTGACAACAGTAATAACTAGTGCAGCTAATAGTACAGTAGAAAATTGTCAGTGTAAAGCATTGTCTATTATGCGCCTAACTTCTGAAATGTTATAAAATATAGTTAAGCCGCAGAAAATAATAACAGGTATTTAGTTGCATCCAGATATAACTACATTCGCTGTATAAATAAGTGTTGCTGCAACACTGAAGTACATCTGCTTGCTCTAGATCAATATATATATTTTAATAATGATTTCTTTTTTAAACATTGCACAATTATAGCTCCAGTAACTCTTTTATCCTTCTGGCACAAAATTCTGCACCTTCCATCGCTTCTTTCGAAGTCTACAAACAATAATAATACAATAAAATGTAATAACATAATAATTATATATATTTATATATATAATAAAAACAAAAATTACCTGTAAAAGATTAAGAAATCCGTGTGGCAAACCCGGTAAAATATCCAGTGTAACTTTATTACCAAGCGAGCGAAGCTTCCTCGCAAACATGACACAATCATCAAGACAAGGGTCAAGATGTAATGTCTACAAGTAAATTATCATGCATAAGGCGTTCTAAAATTCTGACTTTCAATAACAAGTAACACTACTAAAGTACATTACTTTTTACACGATTAAATTGTAACAAAAATCCAAACAAGTACCAGTAACTTTATGGGCGGCAAATTAGCTAGCATATTATCTGGTGCGAGATAAGGGCTTAAGAAAGGATCCCTTGGTATCGTAAGGACGAATTCTTCAGAAGAAATGACATTGTCCATATTGAGTTCCCTGCTATCCTTACTGCTTCTTCTACCAAAAGACCACCCGAATAAAGACCATGATTTATTACTTTGTCCCGAACTGTTACCGTTTCTGCTAATACTGCCATTCCTCGTAACAGGCGATGATGTTGAAGCAAAACCGGAATTTCTGTATATATTTAAAAATTTGTTGATGAATTCTCGAGATTTCGCCTGTACTTTCGGACATTCGGCACCTGTTGCATTAAAAAAGATTTTTCAAAATTATATACTTGAGAAATAGATATATTAATGATTATAAATATTATATGGATATGTACTGGCTGATGTACCATCGACTTCTGTTAAACTAACAGAATTTAATGTCGAATCAGATGGAAGAGATACTAATTTCTCGGCATCATTTGCGCCGTCTCCATTTGGACTCAGGGCTAATGCTATAAGATCACTTTCGCTCACTTCTGCAAAAGACTCTGTATCCGACTTGATATCTTCTCCATTTTCCTGCTCCCTGTGTGCATAAATTTTATATTATAATTCATTTTTAGTATTTTTATTACATCAATTATGAAATATATACATAAAAATAAAAATATTTAGATAATTTATTCTTGCCATATGGATTTCTAAAAATAAATTTAGTAAAGTGAAGTTTAATTCTCATTGAAATCTTACTTTGGTTTTTTATCGGTTATGGCGTAAGCTTTCAAGCATCGTATCATAAAACCGAACGGTAATAATGGATCTGTTAAACAGAGCATACGAGAAGGCGACGGCGCGAACTCGATGAGTAGTGGTGTATACGCCATAAAAATACCATCTGGTCTTCTTATATTTAATTGCATACATCTCAAAGTAACTCCTAAATTTAAGTTTCCACCTGCAGAATCACCTGCCAAAATGATTGATCATGAAACTCAAATTTATTCAATCAATAGAAAAATGTGTTAAAAATAGATTTACTTCCATCTTACCGACAAGTATCACTTTTTTTGCCGTACTTCCAAGTAATGCATTTGCGTGCTTTAACGCCCATGCATAAGCATATAGAACCTCTTCGAGAGCGCGAGGATAAGGTGCTTCTGGCGCTAGACTATAATCTATGCTCAAGATTGGTACTCCGAGCGTCATAGTCCAATTTTGTAGATATATTTCGTGTGATCGCGAAGTTTGTGACACGAATCCACCCCCATGAGTGTGAATAATTAGTTCATCACATAGACCACATAATTCTCCCCCTATACCTCCAGATCCAACCTTGATAGAATGTTGTTAATGAAAAATATATCATTTACTATAGAATTCAATTATATTCCCTTCTGCTCTAAGTTTTATATCTCAATAGAATATAGTTAATTAAATGAAGAGTATATTTTGTATACTCTGTAAACAAATAAAATACTTTACCATTCCTAAACGTCGTTTGGAACTTAACAATCTGACATGGATTGGCTTTTTCCCAATATGACTGTTTGGTATTGGAATTGAAATTGTCCCACCATCTAGAGTAGATAGGATTAATTCCTCAGGTGGGATAGATATTACTTGATTAATTGCTATATTTGAAGTTATCATCATTGTCATTATTGCTAAAATGGAGATATAATAGATTAATATTATTATAGATTAATATTATTAATTAAATATAAAAACAAGTTGAATCTATCTAATATTTCACAAGGCTTTTCAGATGTCAGTACATTTGTCTATGTATACTGAATATCTTTATTTGATTTTTTACTGTGATTTCTTGTGTTTCTCTTACCAGATTCGCTCAAAAACCAAAATGCTTGACAAAAAGAAATGTCAGCATGCTGAGAAATATTAACAATACGACGCGCTCTTGCTTCAGGATCCAATAAATATTTAACGGAATTAGTGCAAAGTCTTAGTAGTGTGTCACCATAATACATCTCACTGAAGGATGCCATAAAGAATGATAATGTCTTTAATACATGTCTTAAACTGTCACAAAACTGAAAAAGAAACACTTTAGAGAAATAGCTAGATTTCATCATGATCAAGTATCAATAGATTCACTGATACCTGAAATCCTAAACATCTGCCATAAAAGCAATACTGATTAACGTTTTGTGCATTACTGAAAAGATCTTGAACGCTGTATTGATCCAGCGGGAACAATGACAGCTTTCCATCACTTGTTACCTCTGTGCTCCACGAGTACATTGTTTTTAATTGTTGTAAGCATGTGAACAGCGATGCCAATAGCTGAGAACATGCTTCTATTTCCCTGAAAGCCCAGATTAAACATACAATTCGATATTACACACAGGATAGATACATATTGGTCTTTGTAATATATAATTACTTCATATAGTAACTCTTTCGGAAGAACACAGAGTCCTTTTGATGATACATCTGCCGGCAGACCTGACCGGAGTGCATGATGCACTTGTCGACCAATGAAAGGAAACTCCTGTATCCGTTTCCCGGAGTCTCTTCATCGAAATCGAAGTACGGCGCGAACCTGGCGATCTCCCTATACAACGGCTGCAATTGAGTGAGATAATCGAGGATCGCCAGAAGGGCGGCCTTGATCCGGACGCCGTTCTTATCCTGATGGGACGTAAAATACTCCACGCTGGCACAACATATATCGCGCAATGCACCCCATTGCAGGTGCTCGAAATCTTCGAACGGTCTCTCGAAGTCATCGTTGAGCGTCGACATTTGAAACGATTCCTTGGGACGACGCTCTGAATGACTTTCTCTCGCTTTCTCTCTCTCTCTCTCTCTCTCTCTCTCTCCTCTCTGTCTCTCTCTCTCTATCTCTCCTGCGGAATTTCGTCGACTGAACTGTCAACAATTTAACGACCGAAACTTTGAATGCCAAGCATTCTAAACGACTACCGATCGCCCGATCTGTCGGCCGACGTAAATTTCCGCCGCATTATAACGGATTACGACGATCCCACGCACGGCGATCGCGCTTGTGTCAATGAGATCCTTCGGCGTGTGCATTGCGCGAATGACGTGCGGCGCGCGATTTAGGCCGAGCGGGGGCGAGATTAAATTCAACCGCGTCGCGACGCGTCTCAAAATCAAAACGCCACGGATCGAACTCGACAATGGTCGACGACGAGAATCGGCGACTCACGTTGACGCGACGCTCGCGAAGGCTCGCGCTCGACAGCGTCACTCGACACCCGTCATTCTGTTCGGCCCGACGCGACGCGACGCGACGCGCGCGCGGATTTGCAAAACGGGAACGCGCTCCACTTCCTCCTCCGGAGAGCGGCTGTCGCATCTCGCGTCCTGTCTTGTCAGCTTATTACGTACAACAGTCCAACCGGGACGGAGCGAGATGCGCAGTAAAGTTTTCTCGGTCGCGCGAAATAAACGAGTGCTGACATTAGATAAGAGCGTGATTCACACGCGCGCGTTTCCTTTGTGTATAAAGAAACACATCGCAGATGTGGGAATTATATAATATTAAGATTCCACTTACAACATATTTTTTGCGCGAAAGCGAAATCAATCGTTCACCTTTTCTCTCGAATAATATAATCCGAAGATAATGTAGGAAAGAACGATAAGAATAAGTAAATGACGTAATAATCTCGAGCGAAATGATGACATTTTACAGCGGTCAAAAGTTGAAGTTCACTTTTGATACTCTGTGAGAGTTCAGGAAATAAAAGGTATATAAACTCATAAATAAAATCTTATCTTAATTCAATTATTCAATTTTATCTTAAATCAAAAGTTGATTTGAGAACGGTAAATAATAGGTTTATGAAGAATTTTCAATGTGAAATTATTATTACCATTTATCATTCTAACAGTCATTAAAACATTTTTTTATATATAATTGTGTGTATATATACAAAAATATATATACAAAAATATATAATTATATATATATAATTATATATTTATATATAATCACATTACAATGTATAATCACTTCATATATATTTTTATGATATGATGTTAAATTATATCTAATTATATATAGAAAATTTGTTATCAGATTATATAAATTCTTTAAATCGAACAAAAGAAATTTAAATTAATGTTTGAAATACACTTTTAATGTTATAAATATATTTTGAAGTACCTATGATTAAATAAAGGTTTGCTTGAATTGTTAATCTAAAGTAATTTAAATGAAGATTGCCTGCACAAACAAACGATGATATATATGATCTTAATGTGAATGAGCTCATTGAATAAAAGAGATAAGAAAGACTCGGAGAAATGCAATAAATAGATTAAAAAAGCTCAGTTCAATAAACACTGCTCCTTTTCAATTATAGCTTTAAGAAATTTCAATACGTCACACATTATTATATCTCACCTGCATATAAAGAAAACTTAATATAATTAAGAACAATTACGGACACAAAGATTTATGTAGATTAAGATCAGAAGTTTGTTGACTCTGATGTCATCGACCGATTAGAGGAGATTCTATCATTCAAAATTGCTGGAATTTCCAGATCAATCAAGCTAATCGTCGAAAGATTAAAAAAAAAAATGCGCGCACGGAGGAACAACGAGAATTTCCTTTCTCGTTGCGATCATGGACACGTCGTCAATCGCGATATGCACGATCGTAGTTTTGCCGCAAGACTACTTTTGCTCTACGCAAACGCGCAAAATGTTGCGTCGCACTTCATAAAAAAAACTATAGAGTTGCTCAATCAATCGCAGAAGTGTGGATAGCAAAATGGATAAGGAAAGAAAGAAAAACAAAAACTGAACATATATTGCATCTCGCTGCACGTTTCATATATTGCTTCATTATTTTCCATTTTGCATTTTTTTATTATCGCTTAATATCACAACGAGCGTTGAACGTGTAGATTTATCAAGTCTATCAATTTGACGGAATACTTGAAGAAATGTTTTATTTTAATTTTTTTCTTATATATTCTTATATATTCTTCTTAATATATTTAAATAATTAATCAAAATAGCTTTCACAAAAGCTTTATCGATGTGTCACGATTTTTCTGAGTAAAATGACAGTAGCGCTGATAATGCGCTCTCCGAATCTGAAACCTGTCAATTTGATGGATTTGGTTGTTCCAGGGAACAAAATGGGACGGATACGTATCTTTGTTTGCATGTTGTTTGCTTTTATGTAATTCGACGCGCGATATAGGCTATTCCGGCTTGTAAAATTAATTAGTTTACGATTAGATTTTTAAGTAGCCTCAAGTTCAGTTTATTCAATCATTGGTCGTCGAATTTCTTGAAAACAGATTATGCAAAATTCTGCTATAAGTTTTATTGGTAAATTGTCAGTAAAAATATATATATATATATATATATTTTTGCTATAGCAAAATATGTTAACTAAATAACACATTGCAAAAACAGAGTTATTATTTCGCGATCAATTAAATGACACATCATGTCGTTAGATTATGTCGGCAAACTTTTGCTGACATAAACGTCTTCTGTTTGACGAAACTATTATTATATGCAATCATTACGTAAACAAATGCAAATGCAATTAGTATCTATATAGCTCATAGACATAAATTTAATAGATATCGTAAGATTAGTATAGAGTTACATAAGATGTTTATTTAATATGATTTATATTCGTTTCAATCCACTTTCGCACAATTTTAGCAGAAGGCTGCGAAAAGAGACTGCAATAAAACGCTCCGTCCAGGAAATTCTTTATAATTTATTTATTGATAAGTAAAATTACATATATCCACAAACACAATACGTTCTTTTCACGGGGTGTAATAATGCGTTAAAACTTGTGAGCGGCGAGGAGAAATACCTGCGAAGGAGAAAGAGGGACGAGGAGAGGCTTTGCTTTTTCTTAATTTTTCGAGAATAGTCTGCCCCCTCCCCTTGTGTTTCTCGTGAACAACAGCAAACCACGGCATTTGCTCTTAATCGCAAGTGTCAATAATAAAAACGAGACGAAGAAAAAGTACTGAAAGATTTAAAAACGAATTTAAAGCTCGGGATCTGAGATGCAATTTTAATGCAATACACAAGCCTGTGTCTAAAATTATGTCAAAAACGAATTATAAACCTCACCTCTTGAGCTCTTTAATTCCTAAGAATTACTCTAGGAAAAAAAATTTGCTCATTGCATACGTTATATATGTATATAAAATACATAACATGCGTATCTGAGCATATAAATATTTGTTACATATATATATATATGTAAATTTATGCGTTGAATATTCCACATGCATTTAAAAGAAACGTAAAATCGTTCTTTGTGCAAAGTTCTCGGCATGATAATGAGATTAAAATTCTACAACAACATGCTGCAGGTACTCTCACAGAACGATCGTTTGTGGGTGCCTCACTTTTTTCAATTTTTAGCTAGCACAATTTAAATCCGTCTGTAACTGTAGCTTCTAACTACGGATTACGGATTGCCATTGTTCACAGAAATAGAAAGTGAAATCTTCCGCGTGTAAATGATATACTTATCGAAGTTCGGAATTGTTGACACTACGATAAAAACTTAACGGGGGCAATCAGTTGCCCTTGCGCCACGCATTGTCTTGTCTAGATTACACGGCTGTATCATCAGTATACAGATAAACATAACATTTCGCTATTAACTTATCTCTCGATAACGGAAGTTCAGTCAAATTCTTGATTATGGGTTTACGATTCCCGGAGTAAAAATTTTAATCGTCATCGCGTCGCGCAAAGGTCAACGAATATGAACATTTTCAGAATTGAAGATAATAGTGTGAGGACACGTAATCGTGCTGCTCGATAACCGTCCGAAGACGAGAGAATGACGCGAGGAGATACCGAAAAAACTGTAAAAATAAAGTCCAGTTTTAGTCTCATTATTATACTCTTTCTCCGTCTCTGGACTCGCTTATCTCTGGACTGCGACTTGAAGGACGTATATTTCTTTTTTCTTCTCCTTCACGTCTCACATGGCTTTAATAAGCTAAGTTTCAGTTATCTCGATATATTATTTATATATATATATATATATATATATATACTTATTACTTCTTTACAAAAATCAATTCTTAAATTTATACGGAGGTGGCCCGATGCAAATTCACAGTATCTTGAAGTGCACACGCTAACTTTTTTCTCTTTTTCTCTCTCTCTCTTTTCTCTCTCTCCTTCATTTTTTCCCGCTACAATCGAATCACCGAAACATGATATGCTCCGACTATTGGCTAATACTGATACTCCCGATGTCTTCTACGAAAGTCATCGAGAGAGCATTGGACCTGCGTTGTTGCCTGCGTATGAGCGCAATCGCGTGTTTCCACCTTCGGTAAAAATTGTCGAACGGATTTGCATGCTCGCGCACGAAATACAATGTCCCAAATCGCTGCTTGCTTTACACTTAATCTCGATTGAATTTAGCGAATATATATATATATATATATATATATATATATATGTGTATGTGTACGCGCATGTCGATCACAAATCATTCTCGATACAGACCAATCGCAATGATCGCAAACCATCTTTCTGCGAGAGTAGCTCT